GCAGCTACAATAGCAAAACTAGACATTGCAGAGTAGAAAGTAAAATGGTTTTTCAATATAGCCTACAATAGATAATCAATTGGGGACTGGGGTTGTTCAGAAAATCAATTTTTAAGATAACCGATTATGTACAAAAAATATATTAACCTATCCCATGTTGAAATTCATTTCATTCCTGGTATGTCCTTAAGTACCCTCTCATGGTCGCACCAGTGCTGCCAGCTAAAACATGCACACCAACAAAAATAATATTGGAGTAGCCCAAGACATAGCCAAAGATTTCAGCGCCACAGCACTTGCAGAAATTTAAATTTGCTGACTGGAAAGCTTTCAGTTAATTGACGTTTAGATAAATTGATATTTGGATAATCGATGCTCTACTGTGTATATATATGTGGTGCCCGTCCCCCATGTTGTCGTGATTTGGGCAAGTCAGATGTCCTGCGCAGGAATTCGGGGCAGGCAGGAAAAAAGACGAACTGTTAGAATCACGACGTAACGCTAAAGACGTGTCAGCTCAAAGACAATAATATTTGTTCAACAATTAGTATTAAGATAATTTGTTTAGTGTTCTTTGTTTGTAATGTTCCTTTTGTGTATCATATTAAAATATACGTCATTATATACAATAAGAAGTTCCTCGTATTCTTTCTTAAACTGTGTTCCATATATACTTGTTAACGCCCAGCCCAGCCATCTTTAGACATCCACATATATATATTATATTTACCCAGTTTCTACAGTTTTATGATACAATGTCTATGATATATGCAACAGTTAAACTAATTCCTATTTATGTAAATCTGTAATAGAATTCTATATTCATCAGTCAGAAAATGTGAATCTGACAGCAGATATTGTGCTTATACTTTTAACTGCCATTTTATATCTTACTTTGATTTTTAAAATTTTATTTGTAGTATAATTGAGTTGTTGTATTGAACTGCTGGTTGGCAATAAGAAATTTTTCTATAAATCTTTATTAAATAACATTTTACTGCTTATTCAAAATATTTAAAGACCTATATATCCTATATCATCATAATTGCACATCATATGATATATACATAAATGATCTATGATACAATAGTAATTCCACCTAATTTTATCAGCTTTTACTGAACTTTTATTTTAATTTTTTCAGGAAACACAAAGAATGCTTTTTATGCCCTGAGGCAAAAGAAGACGGGGGGGGGGCTTAAACTGCTCTAATGCATTTCCTGTTTAAACTAGTTTTGATTTACGACAAATAAACCATTAAAAATGAGACAAAGAGGGAAAAAATAAATTTAAACATTTTAATTTGATGTAGACAAAAGTTTAATTGTAATTCTATATTTAAAATTACTTTTAAAAAAGTAATTATGAATGTAAAATGCAAATATTGAAATTTGGCATGTATAACCAGAAAAATGTTTTATCATAATATAAATTATGACAATATAATATAATAATATAAATGTTTTTAACCCTACTCTTTGTCTTCATTATTGTCATACGTTATATTTCAGGCATTTTGACTTCTTGTTAGTGTTGTTATTTTCTCACTATGGTCGCGATTTTATCCGCATCTTTTATTTTATATTTTAATATTAGCTATTTATAAAGATGGCGCACTTAGTTTTCAATAGAATATCGTTCAAAAACGTTCGAAAAGCCTGTTCGTTTTTTTTTTGCAAACGTGCTAAGTGTTCAACTTTACATTTTTTCTTGATAAAGGTCATTTAACATGACCGAAAACGTTAGAAGTTAATAAATTTGGCTGCACGTTTATAAGGTGTTAGAGTAAGTTTTGTTTTAAAACTCATTAAAGATTATACTTAAATATTTCAAATCATTTAAAGCTAGTTAATTCAAACATAAAAATAATTTTAGAATTGATCTATATGTAATATAATAATTATTAAATAAAACCGAATAGGATTATATATATATATCGCGAGGACATAACCCTCTTAAACCAAAGGAAAAATTAATTACACAAATGTCAAATTTATAAAATAGTTTTTGGGTTACAAAATAAGCGCAAGAAATTTATATTTGATGTCAAAGGGTCGGATAGTAGAGTAGGGACCTTATTAACAAAGAACGCTTCTTTGTTAGTAAGAATAACATTAATTTACACGAGCCCCCAAGTTTTCTCACGGCTGGCGGAAAAATCTCCAGCTCCCTCTTGACATTAGAATCCTCTTACAAAGCTTTCTCTTCGAAAAAGATTTATTAAGTGTTACCAATCATCAATAAGAGATGCCAACTGTTAAAATTTGTCAGAATGAGAACAGCTGCATAGCAACCATTTATCAAACAAGTCAATAACAGTTACAACAATGAATATGACTTCAATGCAGATAAAGAAACAAAGTGAATTGATGATTACTACAAATGAGTACTTTAAACATGGCAAAGAAAGAAAAAAAAAACTTCACAACTTTGTTACAAGAATAAAAATCTATTTAGGTTCACCTTAACCTATACAATGCTGCACTCCATTTTGTTTAACTCTTACATCTTACATTGCATTTAAGGCATTTTATGAATAATCTTGACCTATAAAAGTGTACCTTTGAAAGTTCTTTGTCTCAATGGTCGTATAAAAACACCTTTTACACATATTTACGCTAATATAAAAGCAAATTTGATTGGTTTATCGATAAAATAGCTTGTAATAAGACTTTATGAGAGAGATTTTAACACGTAAAAGTGGAATTTTACTATTAAGAGACGTTTTCAATTTCGTTACGTCTATGATCCACTGACATAGTTTACAAACGAGAAATAAATCATTATTATACGTTATTAAATCGCTAAGTCTCGAAACTAGATAGTTTATAATAGCTAATTTTCATATTATTAAATGTTTACGCATAATTAAGATTTAGAAAATAATTAAATATAAACTCACTTCAACTTCCGACGCCATGTCGCTACGAATACGTCACGGTGATTCGATCGCTACCTACCAGATTTTAAGAATGGTTAATAACGGTAGCCGAAATATAGCCAAAAATTATTAAATTTTTTTTTCGTCTCGTTTGGTTTTATTATTTTTTTTCGATAATTATTAGTGCATATAGAAATTGGAGTTTTAATAAAATTATAAAATTTAATTTTCTGTATTAAAAAAAATCTAGGAATTTTTTTAGCGCGTATTTTTATTATACTGTATTCGATTGTCGGTAGCGGCACTTCTTGAATATGTGTACAGTACATGTGAGAGAAGTGGTTAATTGTATCCTATTTATAGAGATACAATTAGAATTCAAGGTCATGATCTCCAAGGGACAAATTAAAACCTTAATTCTGGTCGCCTGATGTTTTTTCTGTTCAATTTACCAATATCCTACCCAATTTAGCGGCCGGATGGCCGAGCAGTCAAGGTGGAAGCCTACCGCTCTGGGGGACCCGGCTTCGAAAAATTCCCAGGAATTTTTTGGAGTGGTCCATCCGGATATGTCGGGCCCCATCCCTCACCACCCGGCCGCCCCATTGTGGACCTGGCCGAACACAATGGGCTTGCTAAAAGAGGTCCTCTTAATGCCCACAGGGCAAAAAGAGTTTAAAAAACCCACAACTAGCATTAAAGTTTCAAATATATTTTATAATTCTATACAAATAATACGGTTCATATAATATGACTTGCAGATAAGACGTAATAACGATTTAAAATAAAAGGTTCTATAATTGGTTTTTTTTTCAAGTAAAAGCAGTAATGTTAAGTGCGCTGTACCGTCATGTCGACGCCATGTTTGAAGCTGAAGTGCTACTATTTATAAAAGTGCGTTTATCTGTTTACTTGTATTTAAAATATGGGTATTATGTTTAAAACGGTATATGACGGTCGTAGTAACAAATCTAAATGCAAAATCCGATATCAGAGATATTGTAGTGCTCTTTCTAACACTTAAGTTTCTCGTTTGAAATATGGCGAAGAAATGATGGTAGAGAATGTTTAAAGCATGTAGCCGTTTTTACTTACCGTATAAAAAAATAAATAAAAATTACTAAATATTCAAAAATCATTTGCATGCTATAAACTTAAGTGATTAAGAAAGATTCTTCGAATTATATTTAAGTTTTGCGTCAGTACAAAGTTAATACTAGCCTAAGTTAATGACAACTTTTAGATGATTCATTAGTAAGCATACAGGATCCTAAAGTGTAGCTGGCTTAGACCATCCTCTATGCATTGTAATCAGTCTTACCACTCACAGGATCATGAGTGATCAATATCATGAGTGATCAAATTACAGTCTTATTGTAATTTGATCACTCATGACCATTTAGTGTTAGATATATGGTCCTATTTCATCTTACTTGTTAGTTCCTAATATTCCCAATATCTCGGTATTGGGAATAGGCCATATTATGCAATGAGAATAGGAAACGTGTTGTTTTTTTCTTTCATTTTAACTCTTTCTGTTCTGTGAATTCTCTTAGTTCCCACAGAACAGAAAGAGTTAAATATGATAATAAAAATTCAGTACATATTAATACCACACTACACGGTGTCGCAACAGTTGATGCTCCAACCGTACAACACTAATGTAAATGGCAGACCGACATCAAAAGCCCATTACAGTGTCTAATTGTAGACCCGGTGAACGAAAGGTTCCTTACCGAGATGTCTTACTGAAGATTTTTACTGATAGTAGTTATTGTCCATACCCTTTTGTATAATCTTTTGGTTAAGAGCCAGCCAAATTAAAGAGGAAAAGAATAGCAAGATCTGCTTAATAAGCGTGTGCACAAGAATGTAAATAAGCTACACAATTCCTAGTTATTGACTAAAACCACCAAGAAACTAAACGCGTTCAGATTTTTTCGTGTATTTCAAGGTTTTTAACATCTAAATAAAGGCCAAATGTCCATAGAAAATCCTCTCGGGAGGCAGTCATTACAATTTGGCACGAACATTTTGGTGGATCACTTCAAAAGATCCATTTCTTTAATTCAAAATAATAAAAAATAAATTACTATGACAATTTCTTTAAAATAACGGCAATTTTAAGTATTCCATTTATTAGTTTTTTTTTTCATTTTAGAATATAAAATTTTGAAATTCAAATTTCCAAAAATCATTTCTTCGAATTATGTAAATATTATTGGTTACATCTTAAACATCGTTATCATCCTCATCACCTTCTTCGTTTGTTGCAATTTTATCGTTATTCTCAGAATGTATACTTCTCTCGGACTACAAATATAATGAAATATTTTCAATCTAATTGATAGAATGAAACGTTTCGTCATACTTACAATCTTGCTGTCAAGAAAAGAATACTTTTCTTTGTCATCCAAACAGGTGCTACAACGAGGGTAATTTTCATTGCGTCTACAGAGTGTGTTATCGATAGTAGAAATAGGCAAAATATCAAAAAAATCCTCTACAGAAGAAGGGCATTTAGTCTTGTTTGGAATTTGAACTAAACTCTTACGTAAATGTTCGTGTTTTTTCTAAATCAAATGTATTAATTATATATTAATTTTATAAGAATAATTTCAATTGGTTTGCAATTTTTCCTACTTACTCCTTCATCGGAATTTTCTAAATAGTCTTCCATTAATTTATTACAATTGTTACAATGCATGAAATGTTCCAAACTTCTGTTTGACATTCTACTCTGTCGACGTTGTATCTGTTCTCGATGATGTCTAATAGAATCTAACGTGTTTCGAATTTTTTTGAATAAACTGAAAGAAACTTTTTCGTTCTGTAAGAGAACAATTATCATAAAATACTTTTGTAAAGTAATGGAACATACGAAGAAACGTAAGAAATCAGCATCAACATCTTGGTAGATGACAGCAAAGATGTTGGTTGATTCCTGTATGCTCTGTGGAATATAAAGAAACATTATACTTTCTCAAAAGTACCACGTTTCTTTGTATTTCATGGTACAGATCTTGATAAGTGATAAAAACAAACATTGCATTGACCTGATGGGATGAGGCAACGCAACATATGAGCGATTATTAAGGGGGTGAAATTTCAAGAGAATTGGACTGATGAAAGAAGGCAATGCGTTTGACTAGAGGTGACTTTCTGTGGGAAACTGGTCCCTTATTTAGGTATTAAAGACGTAAAAACCCTGAAAAATTCTAGTAGCCAGCCTTTTGTCGAGATGCGAATCCGCGACCAACTACCAGTGTTCAGTGGTTTTATCCAATCGGCACTGATAGACCCTCCCAGGAGGATTTTTTGTGGAAAACGGTCCCCTAATTTAGGTGCGAAGAAATCCCAGATTACACAGTGTTACAGAAGGCCACTGCTGTACCATGACAGCAAAGATACTGATTTCCATATTCTCCGTGGAATACTAAGAAACATGTACCGGTACTTCTAGTGAGTGAAATATATAATTAATTTTTCGCTAAAATTAATAATTAATTAATATTAATTCGATTTTAATTACTAATTTCAAACTTGTGACATGTCTTATCTATTCAGTTTTGTAGTCTTTATTATGTCTGTCCGTAACGCCATACTAACGCCCTTATACTGTATTTTTCTATTACATAAGATATATTTACAACACTTACATTTTTATCTCCCATTAATATGGGGCTCAAACCCGATGAAGGAAGTCTTACGTAAGCAATTCAAAATATACGTAAGAAGAAATTTTTAAAATGCATTATAAAAAATAACCACTTTATAATTTTCTAAAAATATTTTATATTAATAACAATTAAAAAATAAACAATTGCAAATATAAAAAAAAAAACAAAATTACGTTTTACTTCAACAGATGGCAGCACTTAAGATTTGTTCCGTTAGAAGGGACGAAATTGATTACTTGCGGCCGTTTAATTTAAAAAAAAAACAATGGGCGCCATTTTGAATTCATTTAAAATCGTTATATAAACCTAAATTAATTAAATCATTTAAATATAACACCTAATATAACTCAATATTTAAAAAGTTAAATTGACATTTTGATTCGATTAAAATTGAAAATTATTTCATAAATAATTGTAGAAAATTTAAATACTTATCTGTCAAACTGTTCATTAAGCAGTTTTAATTAATATGTGATCATATTACACAATTTGACATATTGAAATCGTTTTTTATACTCTATAAAAGGGTTTAAAAGCGTCGTGCGTTATAAAAGGGTTGGCTATCAAACCGGAGGAAGTTCAGATAAGAGAAAGTCGTCCGCTTATTCTAATAATCAATCAGGCCAATGTTACGATCTAATAATGCAATCTTCGATGGCCCTTCAAATCTCAAGCTTCGGTAGTTCCATAAATCATTGAGTGCTTGACAGGCCTGAAAATTGAGCCCTTGAAAACAAAAGCTAAACAACAACGTCTGATAAATATGAAAAGTGAAAGACCACGTACAGGAAATTAATGAGAAAACAAGATTTTTTTTTTCCTACAAAAATTACAATGCCATAAATCTCTGCCTAATTTGTACAATGCCCCGATTGATGTCTATAAAATTAATTACTGAATTTTTTTATTTTTTTCGTTTTAGATTGAAGGGAGGTGGTTTAATTTTTTTTTAAAAAAAGAATTCAGGATATTTAGGGGAACGGAAAGTGAAAATAGATCTGACGGTGATTTTTTTTCCTGCTTCTTCTTTCCAACTCTAGGAACAATATGGTTCAATGGGTTACGTGCATTCAATAGCGTGAACAACAAAATTTAACTTTCCACATCACCAATCTGCTACTTCCAACCATGTGTGACTCTACTTCCTCCAAGATGGAATATAACCGTATAGGAAGCTTCTTTTTTTTATTACTACTTACACCGCGGCACGACTTAACAAAATTTAAATATCGGCATGCCCATTTCTCATCTCTCGTATTTTGGACAATTTAGATAATGTTTAAGATACAAATGCTAAATTTACAATCCCGAAAACTTGTAACGCAGCGTAAAAAGTCGATACTACACAAGCGTGACGTAATTTTGTGGGAAATATTACACAAGTAAAAATTTCGATATTCGTGAGAAAATATATTTTTTTAAAGTTTTTTTTGAACAAACTTACATTGAATTTATATATAGTTTTTTGTTAGTTATATTACTTTTAATAAAATTCGAGAATTCTACAAATAAAACAAGTACAGTACTTGAAAGCTCGCTTATAAGTCGACACTTTTTTTTTAACTTGCTATAAAATTCTATACACGATGCTATTTTAAGGATTCTATAAGGGCATTTATAATAATCCAGTATATCTTTAACCGAAATATTAATAAAATTTACGCAGCAGTTTTTTAGTTGCAGGTGGACATTCTAATAACAACACGTTATCCATTTAAATAATCAAATTACCCGTGCAATTCAAACTTTCAAATGATGAAATTTATATCTAACTGTCTTTTAAAATTTTACATAAATTTTAATTATATTATCAAATTTAATTACAATAATAATAATAATAATATCGAAAATGATTTCTTCCCGGATACAAAAGAATAAAAACAGGTGTTAGAAAATTCATTTATAGAACAATGAACTTGTGTTGAAGTTTCCACCTCTATATTCACCAATTCTTTAGCATCACGCGGGTACGAGTATATGAGCATAATAAATGCTTAAAGGGATTACACACCTGCACTAATGGCATTTCTTAGTTCCAATTAGGTATCTACACCTGTGGCATTCGATTATCTCTCAACCTTATTGAGAATGAATTCGGTTATTATGGATTGGTTACACTTTAGTGATGATGCTACAGTTATGAACCTTGGCATTTTGGGTGGCACGCTTACTAATTAATGTTTGGGGGGTGTAACACTTTTATGGATCGATTAATTTAAAATTGGACAAGACAGAATGGAAATTTAAAAAGTTTTATTAGTATAACCATCGTTATAGGAAATGCACGTATCATTAGTAACTTACCTTTTTCTTCATTTCTGATGAAGTCACTCGTGTAAAAATTTAGTGTTTTTTTATATATATAGTTTGCTTTCCCCCCCTTTACGATCGTTCAATTTTACACTGTGAGCATTAAAGCAGGAAATATCGCTGTGTATCATGCTGGTAATCAACTATTTTCTTGAAAGTCTAATCTATTGGAGCATATGCAAAGTTTTAGCAAAGCAAAGCCATTCAAAAAATTGACATACAGAAGTTATTGTGTGTTTTAAAATGATCATGCACGGCTTAAGAACACGTATAAACTTATAAATAATTTTTTAACAATTTTGTTTTTTAGGTTTTTATGATAAAATGAATCGTTTACATCATTCAAATACTACTACTTTTTATGATATCATGATGTCTCGATTAAAGACTCACGTTTTTCGTATAGTGTAATTGCAACCTATAGAAATGTTTAAGTGTAAAAATTGCCACTTTATATGGTTTAAAAAAGAAATCTGAATGAATTGAAGATATCTTAATGTTTCTTTATCAGTTAGAAAGGGTTTTCTGTACACTAAAACGAGATACAAACTGTGGTAGATGAGTTTTATATATGCTTGGATATGAGGCAAAATTCGAAATATTTTCGTTAAATTGGCTAAAAAAAAATTTTTTTTTGACCTTGAGGACATATACCCGGGGCAGTGACATCTTAAGAACAAGGTCGGCAGTTTCGTCCTTGTGTTTCATCCAGGCGTATATCTAAGTAATGTGTTCCCGACAGGAAGTCACCAATTTAATGTCAGGTAAATGTGCCACTAGCTACTGGTCCTACTCCACCCCCGAGCACTTTTTCGTCTTTTTAGCACCTTTTTTTCGAAAAAAAGATTCGTCTGAGAATTCAGTTCTAGGAAGAATCCTTTAAGTGTGAAAGCATTATACAAGATTATGGTCGCGAAACAATCATTTATTAGATCAAAACACGATTAGTAAAATGTATGTATGCATTTAACTTCATTTTATATACTTTAATTATAATACTAAATGTCTAAATAATTTACAGTTTTTAATTGTGTGTTTTAAAATAGGCTAATCAGAATTTAATTTCAGTTAAAAGGTAAAATTATCTAGTCTAATAATTACTGTAAAAAAAAATTTAAATTAGGTCTTTTAAATTAACTAGTATTTTGTAAGATGTTTCTTACAAAATACTAATATAAAATCATTAAATTTAAGCAATTCTAACAATACAAATACACCTATCACAGTCGACCCCCCTATAACACTATTGATTTTTCCGTGTTATATGAATTCCGTGTTGTACGAGTCACTTAGATTTTTACAAATACGTGTGCCGGACTGTGAACGGATCACGTATTTATAAAATCTAAGTGACTCGTACAACACGGAATTCATATAACACGGAATTATCTACAGTGTTATGGGGGGAGTCTACTGTGTACTATTCTTCATTCAGAAAGTAATCGAAGTTTCAACAAAATTCAAGCTCATTAGAGCTAATTACAAGCGATACCTTAAACTACAGATAATAGGCGTGCGATTAGTTAGAAAGGGGCATCATATCTTTTTTAAGACGTGCATCTCTTGTCCTACAAAACTTGATTGTTTTATTCAGTAGGCAAGATTTAAGTGACATTATAGAAGATAAGGTAGAACAGGAAGTTTAAAAAGGAAGTGACAGACTCACGCAATCTTCTATTGTCTTCACAATAGTGTATGTGATATACCCATACATAAGTTACTTAGCGTTGTCTATAGCATAGTCTACACTCTTCAATGTTTTTTTTTTTTCCTATTCAATTTAACTATTCCATCTTATTTGAGGCCTCTTAAGATCCTGTATATATAATATTACTCCGGATATAGGATTTATACGTGTTTATGTTATGTCTAATGTGCCATTCAGTCATTAATTTTAAGCCATTTTTTTCTGTATAATTATAGATTAAATAAACGATAATCGAAGCTAATTTCTTAAGTTTTACAATTAAGATTACCATTAACGATAAACATTTTTTTTTTTTTTTTAACCTTAAACTATAAGGATTTTCTAAGGATTTTGCTTATGAATTAAATTAAAAAGAAGGGATTTTTCTGTAGTTTTTTCTGTTTTTTTTTTTTCCTTTAATTTTTATAAAGGAGAGTAAGGTAGGAAGTCATTAAGTAATCATTAGTCATCTGCCTTATCGATGACGAACAAACTCGACAAAAGTAGATAATATCACGAAGATATCAACAAATAAATTACCATTAACCAAAAACAGAGTTAATCCTACGAAATTTTAAAGATAAAAACACATTAAGGACTATATAAATCTTGATTTTCCTATATTTTTTTAAAGGATTAAAGCGTTAAAATCTGTATGATTCACTCGTTTAACGATCGTACTTTAAAGCTTAATCCTAGATGAGTTTATATTAAAAAATCTAGATAAAAATCTATTCGATTTCGATCATCCACAAAATGATCGATTTATATTAATTATATAATCTATATACAAAATTTCATTCAAATCGATCCATCCAAACGCCAGCGGATTGTATTTAGATACGGACAGACATACAGTTTTTTTTTATTTCAACTATAGAGTTTTTAAAAGTAAATTTCTAATTGAAAATTTCGTATTTAAAATTGAAATATGAACCAATAACGGAATAAATAAATAAATAAATCTCTTTCAAAATAGGATTTTTACAAAAAAAAAAAAATGGTGGACAAAACGAAGGACTTTTAAGATGGATTTTTACCGATTTAATATGATTTAATCCCAAAAAATTGACTGTCATTTTGAAAGTCCTTCGTCTCCTCCTCCTCGTCTTCCTCCGTTTTGTGAAAATCCTATTATTTTTAAA